AAATATCCACTGGACTTGGTTTTCAAGATTTGAAGACGTTTCGCCACCTCTCCAGGAGGCTTTCTCAATTCAAATGTCTGGATCCGCAGTGAGTTTGAGTCTTATATAGACAACGCCTTGTATCGCTTGGAAACATGCAATGGTAACCGATGAATGGGTCGTTAGTTCCATCGTTAGCCTGTAATATCTGAACCTGTCTATGATTCTAGGGGTCGGTCGTTAAAGAGGGGATTGCCATTAAGGGGGGGATTGTCTCCTGTAATACCTGAAACCTGTCTATGATTGTTAAGGGTTGGTCGCTAAGGAGGTATTGTTCACCGGCTGGGGCGGGTAGGTCCCTCGTTCCTCTGTGATGGGCTGGGGGGGTTTGGTGATATCTGGAAGGGATCATGTCTATGATTGAATTGTATGTTTTTGGAAGCTGGAATCTGAGTCCACCACCTCTGTTTAAAGTTGTTTTTTCTCTCTTAACATAGATGGCTTCCTTCACGCCCCTCTCAAACCACCTATTTTCTTTATCCAGAATATGGACATTCTGGTCCTCAAAAGAATGTCCTTTGTCCACAAGGTGTAGGTGTACTGCGGAGTCTTGTCCAGAGGCGGCCGCTCTTCTGTGTTGGGCCATGCGTCTGTGGAGAGGTTGTTTTGTTTCGCCAATATAAAGATCAGAGCATTCCTCGCTGCACTGAACAGCATATACCACTCTGCTCATATTCGGTCTGGGGGTTTTATCTTTAGGATGCACTAGCCTCTGTTTAAGGGTTTGGTTTGGCTTGAAATGTACTGGGATCTTGTGTTTGGAGAAAATCCTCTTGAGCTTTTCAGACACTCCAGCAACATAAGGGATTGTGATATTTTTGCGTTTAATTTTCCCATCGCTGTCTTCTGTTGCGTGTCTTTTGGATTTCCTTGCTGATTTGATAAAAGCCCAGTTTGGATATCCACAGTTTCGGAGAGCATCTTTGATGTGTTTCTGTTCTTTTTGCTTCCCATCTGTTTTAGTAGGGACATGTTCTGCCCGGTGTTGTAAGGTTCTGATGACTGAGAGTTTGTGTTCCAGTGGGTGGTGTGAGTCAAAAAGAAGATACTGGTCTGTGTGAGTAGGTTTCCTATACACTTCAATGTTTAGGCCTTCATCTCCTTCCATGCTCACCAGACAGTCCAGAAAGGGTAGTTTGTTGTCCTTGGCATCCTCTCTGGTGAATTTGATGGTCAACAGAGTTGACGTGTTTGGTGAAAGCTTCCACTTCCTCTAGTTGGATTTTGACGAAAGTGTCAGTGTCTTACTCTTGTTAGATATAATATGACTGGAGTTAAGAACCTCTGAGATTAGAAAATTGTATTTTTCTAAACTGTGATTATATTTCAAATACAAATAATTGTCCAGCCCTACTCTGCATACAGAGGTGTTGTGGAGAATGTGATCAGTGAAAACTTCCTTGGCATTTACCTTATCTTCTGACATTCCCTGCTCTTAGGCAGCTGGCAGCTAGTGAAGAAGACCCAGCAACACTTTTCCTCTTTCTCAAGAAACTGAAACAGACTTTATTCTTGTCTGCTCACAAAGTTTTATTAGGCGTACAACTGAAAAATATTTGATAATAAATTTAATAGATTATTTTTGGTATAGACATGTTGCAATCATTTCAAAGGAGAGATTTATTTCTCATCTGATTTTTTTGGCCTTTTCTGAAGGTGTAGAAGGCTCTAAGGGTTCACCTCTGGTTTTAAGAGTCCAACATTTTATAATAGAATGATTAATGTTTACTGGATTTTGTTTAAGTCAAGCAAAAGGTCTCAGTGTGAAGTTATTTATGTTGACTGATCCTAAGGCCAGCAGGACCAATGTTTAAACAGATATAAGACCTGTAAAGCAGGTGAACATAACACCTTTGATACTGCTGCTCAGGTGAAGCAAAATCCAAAACAAAGATGGCTGCGCCTGAAGGCAGCAGCTTGCTACAGCTCCAGACAAATACACAATATAATGGAAATAAAAATGTTAATTTAATGTCTCAAAAGCTTTACTAAACAAAATTTTGTTTTGTATGCACTCTTTGTTTACAAAATAACAATCAAAGTTCTCTAAGTCTTAATCTAAAAAAATAACTTGATTTGTTGACAAGAAAAGAGTACACTGATGAGTCACAGTGAATCTGAGGGATTGGCAGTGTTAACCATCATACGACCTGTTATTTAACTAGAAAGAATATATATGCATGTTATTCTTTTTGCATATATCAAGCTAGTTGTATTCTTCCTTAAAGGTATAGTGGAGAATGTTCTTTTTCCGGAATGGATCATCAAAATAAGCGGTCCTCCTAATTGTCAATCATTCTAGTGAAAAGTTTACATAAGGCCTTCCTACGTGTTCATCCCCATTTTCACTTACCGGATGTGAATCTGATATAGTGAAAAAATTGCAAATCTTCTTTTGTAAAGTAAGCTTGTATGAGCGCTACAATCAGCAAGTTCTAAACAAAATATGCATGCTATAATAGGCAAAATACCCTTGCTAGAAACTAATAATCATGGTTCCAAATTCCTACTTTTCAACTTTCTTCAAAAATAATTAGTTTTCTTCAATATTTTTCATTATTTTTTTAAATCCAGGGAGGGAGATAGGAGTTTGTAGCATTTCCAAAACATATCCAGAGGTATTTTTCTAAGTTACTGACATAGTGGGAATAAACCTAAAAGAAGCTCACAATGCCATGATTTATTTTTCATTGACGTCCCTTCTCCTTTTCAGTTTATTCTGATGACAAAAATCAATCTTAAAAAAAACAAAATCAAGATAGTAATAGTTTAATCTGGAATGTGCTCACATATAAACACATCAATAATCAAATACAGTAGAGGAACCGTCAGATTTAAAATAGGTCAAAAGATGTAGGAGTCAGCAAGCAAAACATAAAATAACTTCAAAATTTTGACTGTGTGATTCAGTTTTTAGAGATGTTGGTTCTGATTTCATGAGATGGGTACAAGTGAGACAGAATTAGGCTGAAGGAAGGTTGTTTAGTAAAGACCCAACTGAAACAATGTTGCAGTCTAGTCTTGCAACATCAAGACTAGAAAATATTGTCCAGATTGGGTGGCGAATCAAGCAAGGAGAGATCAGAACCACAGTTGTAAATGATGAAATCATACATGTTTGTGTCATAAATAAGGAAGCTGACTTTGTATACTGTGATGACAAAGTCTAATTAAAAAGGAATATAGCATAATCTTTTTATACATTATATTAAAGTTCATTCACATATTAACTTATCAATTAAATTTTTCACTAAAAAGAAGTTTTAAGAAAAAAAGTTTTTCTATAAAAAGTGGTTTATAGCACAAGCCTAAAAAAGTCTTAAACAGTTTGTAATCAGAATGTGTGAAATCACAAACAAAAAACATTACTGAGACAATTCTCACAAATCATACAGACACACATGAAGGCAAAAAAATAAAATATCCAAGCAAACCCATTTAAGCGCATTGAGTTATTGACAGTACAGAAGTCATTGCATCTTGTTGTTGGCTTTGAAGCAATCCCCCATACAATTCATGCATTGTATACATTGTAGTGATATTGGAGAGGAAAAGTCCCTTTAAAAACAAGAAATTTCCATCAGAACCAGTCTCAGTGTGAGTGACCCTCTGGTAAGGCCAACTTGGGGTTTGACAATACAAAGATGGACTTTGACAAAGAGAACACTGAAACACTGATGCAGGAATATTTTCTGTGTAGAGGTTACTATTAGACGTATAGATTTGGTCTGGGCGATGAAAGAGAAGACAGTTATTTAGATGCAGTAGAAGTCGATTCAACAGCTATGTCTATGAGAGAAACAATACTAAGGTCTTAAAAACCTGACCAAATGGATAAAGTTTCATAAAATCTCCAATCTATGCAGTCAAAACAGGTCAGTAACATGGAAACATCTGCCCTCAGGGCTTTCTAGTTTAGCTCTACATGGAGTATTGTGTGCTATTCATCAGTTAAACAAGTCACTGGTGTGAAAACATCTGTAGTGTATAGTCCCGGATAAGATAATGAGCAGTAGCTCTACAGATGTCCCAGTTTTTAGAGATGTTGAAAAGCATAACATCTACTAATTATTAACCAGAAGGCAGCGCTGTCCCGTCTCCGCGGTAGAAACTTCTAGAAATTTGCCTTGTGTTTTACCTCGTATTTATATTCAATATATCCTTTAGAGAGCTTCTTCCTCTTCAGCCATCATCTCAGTTAAAGATCATAAAATATTGACAACATGCCCAGACAGGAATGTATGTTAAGGTATTCCTTCTCTAATAAAAGTCCCAAGGCTGCCATCTGCATTGCCATATTCAAAACCAGCTACATCTATAACATAACAAACACTCAAAAGTTATTAGATCAAAGTAGTTTTTTTTAGTGTTGAAATATAAAATACTCTTCGGTGAGATTCTTTTATTACAGAGTTGAATTTTATTTGTAAATAATTTTATTCTAAACTAAATTGAAGAGTAAAAATAAGTAGATTAAAAAAATATATGTTTCCTTTAATTGACTTCTCTAACTTAAAATTATGTTCCGGTATCCGTAAAAAACTTCTCCCTGGATCACCATGTCCTCAGTCATTTTCCTCTATCACATTTCCTAAACCATATTGCACCAATATGTTGCACAGAAATGTAAGCAAGCCTCACTAAAGTTATTCCAAATATTCAAATGCTTTCACATCCGTAACCCAGCTTTATTATAAATAAACACAAGAGGTTAAAAAAAACCTACCTTCATCTATTCATGTTTATTTCACTTAGCACTCCTGGCACCACTTAGCAGATTCCTCAAACGGAAACATGTTCAAGTGATTTAGGAACGTAATTTTACAGCGGGTCACTTGATTAGATGATTTCATGTGTGTATACAATATCTAAATTGCTTTGAAGTACAGAATAGACAAATAGAGTACAGAAGAGAAAAATAAATAAAGCAACCAAAAATGTTTTTTTCTCTTTCTCCACAGAAAAGGATGGCTATTCCTCTCCTCTTAAGCCATGTCATTGTTCTATTCCAGCCATATCTAATTAACATGGCTAATGGTGGAGTATATTATGGACCAAAGCAGCCACCTCAGACCCAGCCCATCCCACAGTACAGTGATGACTTTCCTCAGCAGCAGTTTCTGGGAAATGAGATGCCACATTCACCTTTCAGGGAAGAAATCCCATTACTGCCACAATATGGGAAAGAGGTTCCCCAGCTTCCATTGCCATTGGAAATTGCAAAAGTGAGACAACTGACAAAAGGAAAAGGTGATGTTTTACATGTAGGCAACCAAAACATCATAATGAACCTATTAAAAATTAAACATCATACATTTGTCTGTTTTCACAGGACAAACCTTTCCAAGGGGTTCAAAAGGTCCTATTCCTGTTCCTGAGGGAAAAGGTTTCAGAGAAGGACCACATGGCATTGAAGGCCCCCCAGGACCAATGGGCCCACCGGGTCCTCAAGGCCCCCCAGGGCTTCCAGGACAGGGAATGCCTGGGTCACCCGGAAAGCCAGGGCCTCCAGGTCCCCAGGGATACAGGGGAAATGGAAAACCTGGAATGCCAGGATTACCTGGAAAACCTGGAGGCCCTGGATTACCAGGTGCAAAAGGGGATCTTGGGCCGATCGGTGGTCAAGGGCCAACAGGTCTTCCTGGGCCTCCAGGACTTCCAGGTCCAACAGGACTCCCTGGGATTTCAAAACCAGGAGGCCAGGGGTTACCGGGACTGCCTGGGCAACCAGGAGAACCTGGCCAAAATGGTCTACCTGGCTTTCCTGGCCCTCAAGGTCCAAAAGGAGAAAAGGGGCTTGGTCTGCCTGGTTTTCCAGGTCAGAATGGACCTGGTGGACCACCTGGTCCACCTGGACAAGTTGGCTTCCCTGGCAATGGCAAACCTGGTCTGAATGGTGTGCCAGGACAGCCAGGATTTCCTGGAAAACCAGGTCCTCCGGGAGAAACAGGGCTTGTGGGAGTTCCGGGTGAAAGAGGGCAACCAGGACCTCCGGGAATGCCAGGAATAGGAAAACCAGGAAAAGATGGTTTTAATGGGCAACCAGGACTCTCTGGAGGAAAGGGTGAACCAGGGCCTCCTGGTTTAATTGGACCCCCTGGCTTGCCAGGTTATGGTAAAGCGGGATATCCAGGGCCTAAGGGTCACAAGGGACATGCCGGTCTTCCAGGACAACCAGGCTTAAAAGGTGATAAAGGTCATGTAGGTCTTCCTGGAGTTATTGGACAAACTGGTTTGAGTGGATTACCTGGTGCACCAGGCCCAACAGGGCCTCCTGGTAGTATTGGCTTCCCAGGACAAAAAGGAGAAGATGGTACATTTGGCCCTAGAGGAAATCCTGGAATGAAGGGTGAGATTGGGCCTCCAGGTCTTTCAGGAGAGCCTGGCAGGCAAGGAGAAGATGGGGAACCTGGAACAAGAGGATTTCAAGGGCCAACAGGACCAAAAGGAGAAGTTGGGATGAGAGGTTTACCTGGTGCACCTGGTGTGGCAGGATTACCAGGACAAAAAGGAGAGGGTGGAGAGCCTGGAAACAAAGGTCAACCTGGTTCACAAGGTATCCCTGGACTTACAGGACCAGGGGGTCCAATTGGCCCCCCTGGTCTTCCAGGACAGAAAGGTGAAACTGGACCAGCAGGTAGCCCTGGTTTTCATGGTAATGGAAACCCTGGACCCCCTGGTCAAATTGGGCCTCAGGGAAACCCTGGTGCCAGTGGCCCTCCTGGACTTCCTGGTCAACCAGGATCTCAAGGTCCCCCTGGTCCTCCAGGACCGGATGCTATATCTCCGGACATTGTTCAAATCCTTCCTCACACGGGCACATACAAAGGACAAGGTTACATAAAGGCAGCCAATGGGGCAGAGATTAGTGGAAGCAGTCTGGAGATTCCTGCATTCACCGCAAAGCTTACAAATCCTTTTCCTCTTGTAGGTTCACCTATCCTATTCGACAAACTTCTGCACAATGGAAATCAGGTTTACAACCCTCAAAATGGTATTTTCACATGTAATTTACCAGGAGTTTATTATTTTGCTTACCATGTCCACTGCAAGGGAAGCAACATTTGGGTGGCACTGATGAAAAACAACGAGCCAATAATGTACACTTATGATGAGTATAAAAAGGGCTCACTTGATCAAGCTTCAGGAAGTGCTGTACTCCCTTTGCGAAAAGGAGACACTGTTCATGTAGAGTTACCGTCAGACCAGGCAGCAGGACTTTATGCTAGCCAGTATATCCATTCCACATTTTCTGGATATTTACTGTACCTGATGCAATAAATGGAGATAATTTTAAAATCTTAAACAATAGAAATACTCCAGGCCCAAAGTGTTTATAGGAAAAGTTAAGGGAACAAATGATGGCAAATAACTCTTTGCGTTTGCTGATGTCTAGATTGAAATTTCAACCGTTTTGCTTATTGTTGAACTTTATTTCAAAATGATCTGGTGCAGTTTAAACAGCACTGTGTTAGTCATGTTTTAGCTTGATTTCAGATTCTTTTCAGGTCAATATAGAGCACTCTGCACATATTAATGCTCTGTGGGAGCTGCCCTTCTCAAATTCCTGCCTATGTAACTTCAGTTGGTCAGTTACGGCAATATGTGTTCCCCTTAAATATGAGAGCCTACTAAGCTAAAACTTGCTTAGAGGCAATGAAACAGATATAACACTTACCTGATCAGAAACAGTTTAAGTTCTCTGCTGTGGGATTTAATACAGTGGGGTGAATGATTTCTTCTTTTCACAAACAAACCTAGAATGTACAGGTTGTAGCATCCATAAAAGCAACACAGTGTTGCTCTAAATGTTTTCACTTTTAAATGTTTAAACTGTTTACATAAAGTGGTTAAAGTAACATGCTTTCCATAATGACTAGTTTGCCACAACTTGATGTAAATGTGTTCACCTTCATTCTTTTAACTGTATCCTTTTTACATTAAGAACACTACGGATTCATTAATCCATTCATTTATTCACAGTTACTCTTTCAGCATATGTATTTTCGGTTGTTTTTTCTGTTCTTTGTATTACTGTGTTTTGTTTGTTTGTTTGTTTTTTTACTCTGAACATACAGTTAATGAAATATTAGTTTGGTTCAGTACTAGATAATGATGTCAAAGGCTACGTTCACACTGCAGGCCTTAATGCTCAATTCCGATTTTTTTGTGAAATCGGATTTTTTTGCGTGTCCGTTCACACTTCCAAGTATATGCGACTTGTATGTGATCTACTGTGTGAACTGAATGCGTCCAACCGAAGTGTCCCGCATGCGCACTCGAGGACGCGATGACGTCACACGTAGCAAGCGTCCTCAGTGTTTGCGGAAGTAAACATGACTCGTAATACCGCAGCGTATATTGCGTTCTTTAAGTTCTTCTCCAACAGGAGCAGGCACATTACGAACGAAATCTTTTTAAGAAGATCAAAAAGAAAGACCCTCCCCCGGTTCCGGTAAGACCCTTCGAGTTTGGTCTGAATCGAGCTTTCTAAATATGAATTAAGTCAGCAACCTCACTTTCTCTCCATTGACTGCTCTCTGTGTTATCTTCCGCCATGGTTGTTAGTTTTTCCCGCCTCCGCTTTGTAGGACGCAGATTAGTAACGTTTAGTAATATTTGTCAAGTATCAATGACGTGTAGGTCGGATGAATGCGACCTGGCCGTACAGACACAGGTCGCATTTGAAAAGATCAGATACGTATCGGATTCAGGACCACATATCCAAGTGGCCTGGGTCGCATTTGAAAAAATCCGATCTGTGTCGTTCAGACTGTCATAAAAAGATCAGATACAGGTCACATATGGGCAAAAAAATCGGAATTGGGTCACTTCAGGCTGCGGTGTGAACGTAGCCAAACAGACCCTCCCTACACATTTTGTAAAACTTTTCTATATGTTAATCATTGACTTATTTTTCATTAAATTAAAGAAAATTAATTTTCTTTAATTTATTTTTAAACTACTGATTACTTGAATCTGTTTTACTTGTTGAGTGATACATTAATAATTTACTTTCAAATGATCACAAAAAGTAATAAAGGGAATTCCATCCATTCAAACAAGATGACACATTTACAAGCAGAATCTGCCCATTTTTTTTATTTTGTGTCTTTTTAAGGTAAAAGTCTTTGTTAATTTTTGTACACCAAAAGTGTGTTCAAAATGTGTGAGTTTTTATGTCAATTGTCAATAGAAAAATAAAAATTGTTTGTTTTAACTTATTTTCAATCTTCTTCATGTTAATGTACTTTGGGGGTTATTTAAATTAAAAGTTTTGACCAGTGGCACTGGTTGCTTAATTTAAGTAAGTAAGTAAATTTTTCGTTATTGTAGCATCTTGCACAGACGGGAGGATCACAACTGCCACAATTCTTTTGCGGTGCAAAAGAACTACGTAGGACAATGTTGCGGGGAAAAAAATATTAAACTATTAACTCCAGTTAAATAAATGGAGATTGATGGATTTCACTCAGTCGGCATTTTATTACATCTTTGCAAAGAAGCCCTTATTGCATAGTAATCAACCCTGTTCTGATGTGGACAGAGTTTGCGTCACTAACTTAAAGTAGTCAGAGTCAAAACAAATTACAGACACTTTGGTTTAACAGTAACATGTAATGAATAAACCTTGAGATAGAATCTGGCGTGTAATGGGAATAAGTAGTCCTTGCTTGCAAAACACTGCCCACTCATTGTGTGGCCTTGCAGGTAAAACAGACAAAAACAGACAAACATTTTTTTGAGTGAATAAATACCATTCTCAATATATGAAATAAGAGAAATATACATTTTACAACCACAGACACTTATAAATGTGTATCAGAGTGATTACCATAAATCCTCTAATATAGGACGGGGCCTTTATTTTACTCAGGTGCATTTTGGTTCACGCCATTATTGGAAGGAGGCCAGAATTGGAGGCATGCCTCTATTTCTAATTGATCAAAACAGACTACCAGTGGAATGAATAAAAACAAGATTTTGTGTCTATTTGAACCTATAAAATACTAGGTTCATTTATTGAAAAAGTACAGTTACCATGCCGATATACAGAACATTATCAACAAATACTGGTAATTCAGACATCTTACAGCAGCTTCCAGGCAATTTGTCTGCACGGCAATACGAAAAAAAAAAAAAAAAAGCATACACAGAATGGAATCTTTGCCAAACCAACTTTCGAAACAAGGTTTTAAAAGAAAAATGGGGGAAAAAAATGTTCTGCCATCAGAGCAACATTTTATTTGTTTTAGGCTAAGTGGAAGTAGGCTACAGGTATCATATATGTCAAGGGTAATTCAGAACAATGAAGGCCAACTAAATTCTGTCATTTTAACGCTGTTCACCACAAAGCAAACGTAGTGCATTCTAAACATTTTCCATGGTGATAATTATTCATGACAAAAGGCAATTTACAGGTTTAATCACCTTGCTGCTCACTCAAATTGTCTTGTTTAGTTTGTCTTGTTTAATCCTTCACAGTTTCCTCCTCCTCTTCATCTCTCCCCATAATCTCCTCATCACTTGCGGATCAGGACGATCGGGGCGACTACGATCTCTGTCTAAACATGGGACTTCCCATGCTAATGGCTTGGATTTGTTAGCAAACATTTCCCCCCTGTGGTACTTTTATGCTACTATCACAAGTTTTTGAGGACTGCCCAGGAACATTGTTGGTTCTAATTATATCCCCGGCCTGTATAAGAGTCCGGCCAGTATTTACCTCCACCGCAGCGACACAGGCCATTATTAGAGACCCGGCCGCTAATGGAATACAGGCCAATATTAGAGGATTTACGGTATGTTAAATGTCAAGCAAACTAATATTAACTTATTCTGGACTTAATCTGAAGTTATGGATATGACAATGTGTCTAATAAGTTCCAAGATTTCTTTAACTGATGTTGGCTTACCTGACCAGTTTTCTTCCTTCTAAAGCAACACACTGTCTCAATTAACTAAAGAGACATTATAAACCGTGGTGGTCTGAGTAGCCCAAAAAGTTTCTCAAATAAAAGTGTCACACTACTTTGACATATTTGGGTAAAATTTAAATGTGGGCCATCAAAAATATTTCCCAAGAAACAGTAAAAGGAATTTAAAAACAACACTACTTAAGTATGAAAGAAATAATTATAGCCTTTAATTTGAATGATAAAAAATGTATTATGAAAGACAAAATATGTTTGCATGTGAAATCTGGCATTTTATCTTCATCACATGGACTGAATCCCTATGGACAAGGGGAGTGGACTACAAATGTAAATGAGCTTCCTGAGGTAAAAGTATGACACGTGTTTGAAGTCACTGCATTTGATCCGTAGATCTAACAAAACAATCCAGTGCTTAGCTGGAAAACATAATTTTAAGCATCTTGTTTCATCATTTTAGAGAAGGGGTTGTAGCCAAAATAGTGCTCTGGTCCGAACCAAAGGTCCATGGTACAGACCAGTAGTCCAGGCAACAGTGTAAATTTGTGGTCAGGACCACTAGGGGGGGTTGGGCTCAATGGTCCTCCACTGGTCCAGAGTAAGTATCATGGTGTAATTACCGGTCCTTTCCCCTAGAGGGCATCTAGCTCAATGGTCAATGTGGTCACCTTAAGGCTGATTTATACTTCGAAACTAGGTCTTCTGCGTAGGTGTCGCAGTGAATGCAGAAACGTCCCCATCCCCTCCGCAGACACTCTGCTGCACCGCTCCCTAATTGTAGGTGACCGCAGACACTGCTGCAGACAGAAGGCCTCTGATTGATCAAATTAATATTTCCTGTTAAGTACCTTACCAGCTTGTTTTGTTTGCATGACCACCATTGTGGAAAACGACTCGTGAAGATTGACCAGCTAGAAGAACGAGGAGTGCGAGAACCCTGGGACCCTTTTTCCACCTGGATCCCCGCTCTTTTTTGCCCTCATGTCCCTCCGTTGTCGAATAAACTTGCCCCCATTTCCTCACCGCGTCAGCCGTATCTAGACCCACGGTTAGTTCGTGATTGTCCCTCTTGCGTTATGGCTTGGAATAAGATAGCCATGCTTTGAGTATATATAATTGAGTATAAATAAAAAATGTCTGCATTATACCTGCGACAGGCTGACTGGTGCGGGAGTATTACCAGCGTTTTACTAATGAAAAGAGAGTGGAAAACCAATTTCCAAACCAATTTGTTAAACTAAGTTTAATATTTCTGATACCCCCTTTTTTTGCTCTGTTTATTCATCCTGATTGTATTTTCTATTTTGGTTTATCCATCTGGTTACCTTTTGTTCTTGTAATTAATGAATAAATTGACATAATATGTGTGATAACTGTCCACTATCAGTGGACTTAATCTTATTTGATGTATCTTGTACCATGCTGAATGCTTTGAATGAATTAGTAAATCAAAGACAATTATCAACTTGTCTCTGTTGGTGTTGGTCTCTTCCTCTTTGATAAATGAAAATCTGAAACTAACATCCAGCTTGATGTTTTCTCAGGAAACAGTCAGATTGGCATGTGGATCCTGGAATGAATCCTGAAGCTACAATCTTTTAAGGAATGGAAGATGTTTTCAAGGAGAGTTTAAAATAGAATCGGATCGAATATGTGAGTCTCAGACATGTAGAGACTGAACTGTCCATTTAACAGTAAAAGCGTTTCTGTGACGGACACTCAACATAGAATGACCGAGGATCCATGAGGGATGTGGAATCCAGGATATAGAGGTTCGCTGAACGAGGTTTGGAAGGTGTGGAGTTTGATCAGTGAGTCAGGGGTGACTTCGTAGAAGGACAAAATGCCAGCAGGAAAGTCCACATACACTGCTACTCTGTTAGAGATGGTAGAGGAGGAGGATGTAGGTTTTCCACTATCATTATGCCAGATAAAGTAACCACTATCAGAGCACCTAAGAATCCAGGAATGATCATTTAATCCAAATAAACAATCCTTATGATCTCGCATACTGATTCTTCTGTAACTCACTGATATATCAACTCCTCCTCTCCACTCAACCTCCCAGTAACAGCGACCAGTAACACCAGTTCTACACAACAGCTGAGGATCTTTAAATCTGTCTGGATGATTAGGATATGACTGAAGCTCCTTCACATGTGTCACTTTCCTGTTGTCTTCAG